GGGACCCCTCCATCCCCAACCCTGGGGACCTCCTTCCCCTTGCTAACCCCATCCAGGGGGGCTCAGGGGACTCCCCACCCCAGCATCCCCAAACCAAGGGGACCCCCATCCGTGGTGGAGCCCTGGGGACCCCCTTCCCCTTGCTAACCCCATCCAGGGGGGCTCAGGGCACCCCACCATCCCCAACCCTGGGGACCCCCATCCCTGGGAGGGCCGGGGGTGCTGCCCAGCACCGGCCCAGGGTGGGTGGGGGGCATCACCTTGGGGCTGAGCCCCCCGTGCCGGCGGCCGGGCCCCTCGGGGGGAGCCGCGTCCAGGGGGATCTCGGAGCCCTGGGAGAGCAGGTCCTCGGAGCGGTCGTCAGGACGCTCGTCCGTGTTGGTGCTGCCCACGTCGGGGGTGGCACTGTGGGAGGGCTCACTCGTGTGCCCCTCGTCCCCGTCCCCATCCGAGAAGTTCTCCGAGCTGAAGGTCGACAGCGACTGGCGCTTGCTCATCCCCGGGGGCCACCTGGGCGAGGGGGGCGAGGGGTGAGGATCCAGGTGCCTGGGCACCCACAGACCCCTCTCAGGTGTCCAAGCACCCATGGACCCCCCTCACCCTGAGGACCCCCATCATCTGCACACCCAGAGCACTTCCCCCCACCCCCCCTCGAAAGACCCCAGACACCCCCACCCCGAAGGACCCAGTGCTCCCAGTCCCCTAAATGACCCCTCCTCACCTGGAGGAACCCACATCGGTGCCCCCCCCCAGCCCAAAGCACCCATGGAGGGGGGGCAACACCCACCTCTGCCGCAGTGGCAGCTCCACCTCACTGTCCACTTCGCCCTCCTCCTCCTCCGATGAGACCCCCCGCTTCTGGCAGCAAAGGAGGGAGGTGTTGGGGTCCTGCTGCCCCTCAGGAGGGACCCAGGGTCCTGACACCCCCACACCCTCCCCCCCAGGAGGGACCCAGGAGTCCTGACCCCCCCAACCTCCACAGGAGGGACCTCCCCCCAAACCTCTCCCCGGAAGGGCTCCATCCCACCTCCCCCTCCTGGGAAGGACCTGGGGTTCCTGCCCTGTGTGTTCCCCCCTCCCCAAAGAGAGACCCGGGTGTCCGGGGGTCTCACCTGCCCGCGGGTGACGGCCGCCCGGTACAGCAGAGCCGCGGGGGTGAGGTGCTGCCCGGCCCCCCCTTTCCCCCCCCGGCCGGCCCCGCTCTCCCGTTCCGGCTCCCCGGGAGTGGGGGGCTGCGGCGGGGGGGACCCTTGGCTGCCCGTCGCCCCCTCGGGTCCCGCGTCAGGTACCGTGGCCGGGGGGGCACCGGCGGCCTCCAGGGTGCCCCCGAGGATGTCGGGACTGGCAGCGGTGGCGGGGGGCACGGGCAGCCCCCGGGGGGTCCCGGCCTCGGGGCCCAGGTCCCCGCAGCCCCCCCGGGGTCCCGCTTTGCGGTGGCGGCCCTTGGCCCGGCGGCTGCGCCCCGGGGAGGGGGGGCCCTTGGGACACCCCGGCAGGGCCACCTGCGCCATGGCCGCGTCCAGCTTGGGCAGCAGCACCTCCGGCTTCAGGATGTCGGGTCTGGGGGGGGGTAGGATGTGGGGAAGGGCTGTGGCTGGGGACTCAGGCAGCCGGGAGCCCTCCCCACCCAGCCAGGAGGGACCCCTATGTCCACACCCCACCAAAAAGATTCCCCCCTCCAAGGGCCACCAGCATCTGCAGGCCCAAACCACTCCCCACCTCCAAAGGACCCCAGACTCCCACCCTGAGGTCCCCAGGAATCTGCACACCCAGAGCACTTCCCCCCCTAAAAACAGACCCCAGACTCCCCCACCCCAAAGGACCCATGGCTCCCAAATCCCCTAAACAACCCCCACATCCAGGCCCCCAGACCCCCCACCTGGAAGAACCCCCTTATCCATGCCTCCCCCCTCAACCCAAAGCACCCAGACACACAACCCCCCAGCACCCTCCACCCCAAAGGCCCCAGGGGGACCCCGGGCTCACCTCTTGCCGTGGGGTGAGAGCTTCTGGGGGACGTTGCGTTTCTTGATGAGGGTCTCGACGGCGTTCCCGTGCAGGAGCCCCCGCGGCGCCCGCGGCTTGAAGAGCCCGGGGTAGCGCTTCTCCAGCGCCTGCTCCCTCCTGCCACGGGCCACTCGTGGGCAGCAGCACAGGGCATGGGGCATAGGGGCTTGAGGGGGGGCGACTGTGCCCTTGGGGGGCTGGCCTGGGGCTCAGGGTGGGCGTGGGGAGGGCACGGCCATGGGGTTGACATACGGTTGGCCATGGGGTGATCATGGGGTGATCATGGGGTGGGCACAGGGGGTTCTGGGCGTGCTGTTGAGCGCCAGGGGTGCCCAACTCACCTGAGCAGCTCCTTCTCCTTGAGCTCCAGCTGCAGCATGAGGGCACTGAGCTCCATGTAGAGGTTGTTGGCGCGCTCCAGCTTGCGCTCGTAGTGCTCCCGGATGTCCAGCGCGTGCCTGGCCCCCGGGACACACAGGGCGTTGGTACACACACCCCATGGCACCCACCATGTGCAAGGACAGGCATCCACAGACCCCCACAGCACCCACAGACCCCCACAGCACCCACCATGTGCACGGACAGGCATCCACAGACCCCCACAGCACCCACCATGTGCAGGGACAGGCACCCACGGACCCCCAGAGCACACACAATGTGCAAGGACAGGCACCCACAGACCCCCACAGCACCCACCATGTGCAAGGACAGGCACCCAACAGCCCTCCAACACCCACTGGCACCCCCTGTCCATGGTCACCCCCCCCACCCCAGTGCCCCCAGTGCCCCCGGGCAGGGCCCCACCGGAGCTCCTCGCGCCGGCGGTTGATCAGCTCCTCCTCCAGCCGGTGCAGACACGTCCCCTCCGACTTGATCTTCTCGAAGTGCAGCTTCACCTCCTCCCGCCACTCCGCCTGTGGCACAGGGGCACCGGCTGCCATGGCCACCGGGCACCACGGGCACCGGGCACCCAGGACACCAGGCACTGGCTACTCTGGGCACTGGGCATCCTGGGCACCAGCTGCCACAGGCACTGAGCACCCAGGTCCTGGAATCCCAGGGTGCTGGGATCCTGGGGTCCTGGGGGGCTGGAACCCTGGGATGCTGGGATCATGGGGTCCTGGGGAGCTGGGATCATGGGTGCTGGGATCCTGCGGTCCCAGAGTCCAGGGTGCTGGGTACCTGGGATTTGAAGTAGGTCTCCTGGGGGGTGGAGAGGACATCGGCAGAGGCGATGTCGAGGTGCAGCAGGATCTGGCGGAAGGACGGCCGGTTCCGGGGTTTGCTGTTCCTGGAGGGGGGGAGCAGCACGACTCTGAGGGGTGCTGGAGGTGCTGATGAGGCTTTTGGGGGATCAGGGGCAGAGAAGGGCACATAGGGCACCCCCAGGGTGAGGGGGCACCTCCTCTACGACCAGGTGTCCCCCCTGCATTGCCCACATTGGGGTGCCAATGACAGGTCCCATGGTGGGGTCCCCCATGGCATGGCTCATCTGTGACATGGGTGCCCACGGCATGTCCCCAGGGTGGGCTGCCCCTGGTAGGGTGTCCCCCCGGGGTGAGCCCCGGGCACTCACCAGCACTGGCGCAGCAGCACCTTGAAGCCGTCGGGGCAGCTGGAGGGCACGGGCAGGTGGAGGCTGTTGCTGCCCACGCCCCAGATTATGGCCGACGAGTCCACGTCCTTGTAGGGGATCTCGCCCGTCAGCAGCTCCCACAGCACCACCCCGAAGGACCTGGGGGTACCCACGGCCCCGTCACCCACTGTGGGGCACCCCCAGTGTCCTCCTGCAGTCCCCTAGTCCCCCTCACTGCCGCTGCCCATCCTGGTGTCCCCTTTTCCCCCTGCTCCTGTGGCCCCTGATGTCCCCCATTCCTGTGGTGTCACTTCCAGTGTCCCCATCTCTAGTTCCCCCCAGCGTCCCTGGTGT